ATGGCATAATCTTTATAAGATTTAAGAATTAATCATGGTTGGGTATTTATCGATGTGTAAATGTTACCGAATCACTCACAAAGTACTTAAATTCGGATGGTCTTTATATAAACTGTGTAGGGATTAGGTAAAGTATACACATCGATAAATACCCAACTAGGACCATTCATTCCTTATAATTCCAATTTACTTCTTTCCTAACATCAGATTAGCATATTTAATACACATAACATTCACTTTTATTTTGATTGAAGTTTTATTTCATTAGCCTCTAAACTGCATTATAATACATAGCCCGAACTTTGCCAGCAAAGATTCGTCCATCATGTCATAACGGGTCATGCTATGATCGGTATTTCAATATATGAAAATGGTTGTTGCGGTTTGAAAAGGTTTTTCTCTTTTTACTATAATTTCGATTTTGCTTGCCATTTGTCGTTTAGCAAACTTGTTTTTATTTTCTACTCGTTTCGATCTTCAAAAGTAAAACTAATGTGCACTTTTAATGAGATAGCTTGTTTAGGATATGACCCTGTTGTTGAGGTGAAATGAAATATTTTCCGAAGATTGTCTTGCAAAGCAAACCACATGCCTTCATCGGCAAAAAGGATGAGTAGTGGAGTGCAGAATGATCTGTATAATTACATTGTTTTAACTTATAATGGTCCACTTTAGCCTGAGGTTTTGTAAATTTTCTTGGAAATCACATTTGGTGGTTGGCTGTTTCTTGCTAATGTAAACGTGTAATGAGTCGATATAGAAAACAAAACTCACTTTCCAAACGAAATATAATGCAATTTCTGGACACAAAACATACTATTATTCAGCCTTGAAATGATCGAGATAGATTGTCAATTAGACATATCTGAATGTAAGAATAGATTGTTTCATAAGTGATATTGGAGCCAAAAGAAGTAATATTGTCAGAGTTCATACGAATCTACATCGTCAATTGGTTGAATTACAATTTAGCCATTTTGAGTATTATAATATTAATATTTTTGTTGTAGCAAGGCATTGAAGGCTATCCCCTTAACATAGTTTTGAAATGTTACTATGAACAGGAAAATACTTCAGTGCTAACTGAATTCGATTGTTTCCAAACTCTCATGCACTATCGTTTTCTAATGATCTCTGCTACTGCAGATTGTGAAGAATATTGCCAATATTTAATTGATCTAAATAATTAAAAATGGTTGATGATTTTAATAGATTATCTGTGTTGTTTCGTAATGTTCGTCAGTATTCATAATAATCTGTACTTTTCCAATAATGGTTATTTCTACGTTGAATTGATTTGCCGTGCCCTAAAGGGTTGTCCACATCCAGATATATTACTGTGCTTGTATATTGACATACATCACGTATGTTAGTACAATGTTTGATCTCAAAGAGGTGCGGGTATTTAGCTTACATGCTCATGTCGTAGTATTTTAAAAAACCAATGTATATTTATCTTTCATAGAGCGATGCACAGCAGACAGGCACATGAAATCTAAGTTTGCATGGCAATCCAGCTACTCCGTGCATATATGTGGATAGATAAATAGTGCGAGAATCTCTCTCTCTCTCTCTCTCTCTCTCTCTCTCTCTCTCTCTCTCTCTCTCTCTCTCTCTCTCTCTCTCTCTCTCTCTCTCTCTCACACACACACACACACACACACTTATAATATACACACAAATAAAATTATTCTGGACGATAACAGTTTTTTTCAGCTTTCTTTGAAGATATGTATTTTTTTTTTGTCTATTACGACAGTTATTATAGCTTTCATAAATATACATATCATTTTAATGTTTTTTTTTTGCGCGCGAATTTTATGATCCTATTGATGTATTTGGGAGAATAATTCGTACAGTAGTCAGAACATGTTGATTTCTTTTAATTCTGTAATGTCTGAAAACCTACGTACAAAGGACGTACATAATCACACAACTATATTTAAGAGCACATTCACACTTAGGATCTATTTAATGAAATGGCCTCCATTGTTTACGATTACTAAAGATGCTTGAGTTTGTTTTTTTTAAAATAATTATTATCTAAGTTTCATGTGATAAACCTGTGAATAACTTGAAATGATATCACAATCAGCATGCATTTATCATAAAGGTTGAACGTTTCTTAAATCGCAACATGTAATAATTTATAATACCATGAAATAAACATATTACACAATTTGCTTACTCCCTTGGCTTAACAAGGAAGTACTGAAGTGTCAATGGTTGCCATGGTCAGGTATTTTAAATTTTGTCTGTTTTGTCGTAAAACACTATTTACCATCCTTGAAAAAGCATATTTCTTTTGTAATTAAGATAAAAGCTACCATTGTTATTGCACATTAAAATAATCAAAATTAGGTTCAGGTGATTGTGTTCATAAAAAATAAAATGCTTTTATTATTCTATTTTGAGAGCACGATTCTCTATGGATTACACAATCAATATGAATACACCCACCATATTTTTAATATAAAATTCTGCTTATGCTTTAAATGCTATATACTTTATATGAAATCCTAGTTATCCACCAAAACCATATAAATTATGGATAAAAACAAAACAGAAAGCAACAAATGTACCTCATGTACCAAGAACAGGTATATCATAAATATTTGCTTATATGAACTGTGCTAACTGTTTTGACCGCTAACAAACCGCAAGATTATATATTTTGGTACACTAACATATGTCATTGTCACAATGATAACAAGAAGAAAATACTTGGTAAATAGAGTAAGTGAAAGCTTATTTTTATGTCGTCGTTTAAAGTAGTTTTTTTCTTTGCAAATATAATTATGATAAAGCAAGACAGTAGTTAGATGTTTTCACTTTCAAAGTAATTATCATTATTACTAAAATCTTAAACTTTTGAGTGACGAGGACCTATTGTTTGCCAAGAGGATGGTTTCATCACATATCAAATCTGTTTCCGCATATAATGTCTCATTAAGTGAATGAAGAACACTTTGCAGTGGAAATGTTCTTCTTAAAGAACTACACGTGTCCCTTCATATTAAATTGATCCTTCTGCCAGATTAGTTACAGATACATGCTTTCAAAGATGTTTTTTCTATACAATGTTTTATATCTTAACAAAAACGTTGCGGTGACTAAATCTTTTGTCACAGAGGATTACTCTTTTATGATTTGTCAGAGTAGCCAAGAATATAAATCGTGTCAAATATTTAAGTTTTGACACTCTTAAGACTAAAATATGCTGCAAAAGAAGTTTTCTTCTGAAAGAGTACCTCCTTTAACGACCCTTTCATATGCAAATGTTCAAATGTTATGTTATTTTTTTACGATTCGTCACTTTTTATATTCGGTCTTGCATAATGGGATTGCTAAAATTAACAGAAATGCACATAGATTACTGCTTTCGGGCATGTAGGTTAAAGTCAAAAGAATTCTTGCCTTCTTAATATGGCATAATATTGCTTAACATAAATTGCCGACTGATTTACTTAACTCCATGACAACCACATTTAGCACATTCAAAATAAGACATTCAATTGATACACGTGTCACCAAGGCAACTACTGCAAGTTATAAGAGTTTAGAAAAACCTCTCTAACACCTTAACCTCGGTAACTACAAAAATGTAGATTCATGTGGCAGATGACAGGGGAAAATGTTCCTTTAACATAGGATATTTAATATATAGTCTACGGTAGAAGTAGATATAAATACATGTGGTAAAAGCCAAAGTGGTTATTTGCACTACGATCTATGGCTAAGTGATACGTGAACTTTTGAAGGCAGAGGCCAATTAGAATTACCAGACTTACCCTCGTCGATTATACCCCGCCTGTCTGAGACAACTTCCTATTCCACTTCAGGTCAATGTGGAATAATCTATGTTCATGTTACGCGTGTCAGATATTCGTCACAATCATTTATCTCAAAGGGTCATAAAGAGAGAGAGAGAGAGAGAGAGAGAGAGAGAGAGAGAGAGAGAGAGAGAGAGAGAGAGAGACTGCAGAACATAAACGGATATATAAACTGAAGGACAGACATACAAAAATACATATAATACACCTTCACCATTATGTACCCTAAACGTAGGTATGTAACAATGAAAGCAGTATTGTATTTTTTTCTCTCTCTCTCAAATGTTTTACGATATTTCATAATTGTATATAATTAGTACCGCAAATACCATTCTCTTCAGCCAAATACAGCTTTTACAATATTATTGAATATATTTGCCAATTATTGTTGGATAATTGTGTTATCATTCAGGATGGCAGATAACCAATGTGATGATTTAGAAAACTGTATTGTACACACGGACCAAAGATACGTCACCTAAAATGGATCACACACACAGATAATATATATATATATATATATATATATATATATATATATATATATATATATATATATATATATATATATATATATATATATATATATATATATAGAGGAGATAAAAAAACTTTCAACCATTACAGATGGAACTGAAACTTTTTAGTGTTAATAATAGATTTGTTAGGTACACAAGTTGTACTGCAATTTTCCGGAGAATGTTTCTGACATTGAGAGAAACTATTGAATTGCTTGTCATACGCATAGGTATCAAACACTATAGCATGTTAAATCAGTCACATTAAAGGTGTTTTTCTGCCAATAACATTGTAAACTAAATTACATTGTAATCATTTATGATTAAACGTTTTTAAATTGTCACAATCAGTGGTTTATATAAGCAATCATTTTTTTATTCGTCCTTGTCCTCGTGTGTGTATGTGTGTGTGTGTGTGACTTAGATTTGTAACACAGCTTTAACAATATTTCCGTCTTATCGCTATGATATCTGCAGTGTGATAGTTTATAGCGATGTCTAGCCAGGGGAATCATGCCGCAGACATGTAACAAGATGTCCCGCCCTCTCACATTATCCTGACACTAGGACAACCATTCCTTACACTAACCTCGTAATGCTGAGCAATAAGCAAGGAAACTGTTAGTACCATTTTTAAAATTCTTTGGTATGACACGGCTAGGGTTCGAAACCACGACCTCCCGCATCCGATGCGGACGCTCTAGCCACTAGGCCACCGGAGCGGTCTACATTAAAGCAAGCAAAATGTAAAAATTAAGTGCTCAGATGCCATATACGTTCACAAGATCAAATGGAAGTTGTCCATCAATATAGTTCATGATGAAAATTTATGCAACCCGTAATAATAAAGATCAACTGGAATGTAAACGCCTTCATATAACTTTTTTTGCGAATAAGTCTTGGCGGAGTGTGACAAATATGTAAAGCAGGTAATGTTTACTTTACACACTTATCATGTACTTTATGCCCGGAATACGCCATTTTCGTATTTTTCTTGAACAGTATTGCTGTCAATATTAGAGATCAGTCCTAGCGGTTCAGACATGACACAACAGGTGATGATGTTTCTTCTAAATATAACCATATGTTGAAATAGCTGCTTGCCGAACTTTTTTTACATTAATAATTATAGTCGACAAAGTTAAAGAATGCAATTAAGTTTCTTCAGTTCGCATTGGAGGATTCACATTATGTATTTAATATAACCATACCAGAAAAATAATCAACATGAACTTGTTAATTTAAGAGAATGAAAATTTAGAACTTTAAATTGTATAACCAAACGAGCAGGTCTGTACACTGAGTGATCTATAAGCATTTTATCATTTAAATTGGCCCAGCCGCGATGTTTTGTTGACAAAATGATACAACTTTTAATGAGATGAATGACCTTATTATGACGCTAGCTTTAGTTTTATGCTACATGCTCTCAACATTACACTCTTAATCAATTTTGACTGTTCCTGTCAATTTATTTAATTAGGCTTAGGTGCATATCAACGTCATCGAAAAAGTAAGGAATTAAAATAGTTCTCGTTCGATACTGACTTTGTGGGTTTTTTCTTTCAGTTTGTCACATATTGACGTAAACTATTCATTTGTTCTAATTATGCTTTAAATAAGATTAGATTTTCAATATAATAAAGCAAGAAACATGTCATATCCGAAGTTGACTATAGAACACAAAACCATGTAGCAATGTGACAGCTATAGTGGCGTAATAGTTTTCACCAGCTTGTGCACTTCATAACATCTAACCAATGGTCGATATAAAACTTGAGAGCATTTATAAGTACAATTGCCATGAACAGGAGCCAAAATTTGAAATATTTATCGTGACCAGATTAAGATACAAACATTTAATGTTTCTTATAGCGTTTTGAATAATATATGGAAAGGTGTTGTAGCCTCAAACAGTTAAGAATTTTACTTTTGGAATTAAAGATTTTCATTTAAATAGAGTAGGATATGTTCAAGTGGATTCTATTGTATTCATTCCATTATGTTCTAAACCATTATATCTTCACTACTTACGCTACTTATATGTCCAGTCGTTTTGTATGACAGGCAGACTATTGTGTTATCGAATATGTTGATTGTAATTTATTTTTAAGTATTCTACGTTAATAAGTTGAATATACTATGTCATTGTGTTGTAACCTAGTTGTATAGATATGCGGCAATGTAAATAATGTATGCATTCATAAAAATCCTAGGTTTTCTTTATTTTTGTGTAGTAAGTAGATGTGGAAGTGACATGAAAAAAGCATTTGTATAAACCAGTGCATTTAGGCACTGAATGCGAAATCACTCAAAAATGTGTAAATAAATTTACTTTTCGGTTCAAAACGAATTTTGATTTAAGCAGCTTCCATCCAGGTAAGGCCAGGTTGGAAAGTTGCAAATGATAAGGGCCTACAAAAAGGTGCATCATAAATGAACGTTGGGACATAGGAGCCCCAGCCACATGAAGTGACCTATACTTCACATAGAATAAAGAAGCCATGAGGAAGCGTGCCTAAAGAGTGAAAAAGCCATTGAATGGAGTACCTATGCAATGCGAAATTCATTAAAGAGCTTGCACTCACAGTCAGAGCGCCATTACAAGACATAGCATTTATGTGCAAGAAGTACCACTAAACCATAAAGATTACTTAACAACTTTAAGAACGGAGTGTATGTGTGTGTTTGGGTTTTTAAAAACTTTTTCAGTTATATCGCAACAATGTATGTAGTGAGGCAGGTTATAGTTATATCTAACCATGGGATGTCATGCCGTAGACATGTAGCATCATTTCCCACCTAGTCACCTTATCCTAACACAGGCCCACCAGTCTTAACACTAACTTCCTAATGCTGAGCGCCTAGCGAAGCAGCTGTTAGTACCATTTTTATAAGAATGACTCAATGCGGATTTAACACACGACCTCTCGCATTCCATGTCGAAGCTCTAGTTGGCATCCCTGCTAAAGGGAACGATCTTGAGATGTTTGAGAGAGTACCATTTGTAGAGGGAATGGTAAATTAAAATAAAAGCTGTTTATGCAATTTTAATTAACGGAGGATGGATAAAAAACAAATTTAGAACTGAAAAGCGAAACAAAATCGAACCTTTTGTGATGGTCGTTGGTAGGAGAGCTAGGTACTTAAAATGTTTGGTTTAGGTTGAGTAAGGTATCAAAGACCTAAGAAGCAGATTCTGACATCTTGACCAGAGATCAGTTACTAGATATTTGCACTAAAGAGTTATATTAAGGCTTGAGTGTAAGAAAACTCACAAGAGAGAGAGAGAGAGAGAGAGAGAGAGAGAGAGAGAGAGAGAGAGAGAGAGAGAGAGAGAGAGAGGCTAAAGACTACTTCCGTCTTTACTCATCAAAGAAAAGGAGTTGTAACTCCTCTATTTTACAAAATACACTCATAATCGGCTTATACTCCAATGTTTTGCTCAAGAGATGTCCTTACACCATGGGAACTACATAAAATGCTCACCGTTTGGAGTGGTGATAGATACAGGTCAATCAATCAATCAATCAATCAATCAATCAATCAATCAATCAATCAATCAATCAATCAATCAATCAAGCAAGCAAGCAAGAAAGAAAGAAAGAAAGAAAGAAAGAAAGAAAGAAAGGCTTTAGAAAACTTGTATCAAATTAATATGTTGAGCAAAAAAACCTAAATAAAATTGTCCCTTAAGCTGGATAGAGCGATTCTCTTGAAAAGTTGAATACAAGAATTAAAGTGACTAGAGATCTGCAGAATGGTTTGGCAAGGTATGAGAAAAAATCCTTAATATAAGGTGTCTTTAATCTTGAGACAAATACTAAGATAAAAAGAGATGAAAAAACCGGATACTTCACTGAAGAAGAAATAAATGACTTGGACATGTACTGTCTAAATTATCACATTAAATTGTTAGGGTTATATTACTCTTAAAAGAAAAAAAAACGTCAACTCGGTATGGAGAAGGTCATATTAATAACACAAAACTATACGTCTGTATTGGACCACAATATTGCAGCACACAAACTAAGTCGACTTCATGGAAATGCAAATAGATCGATCATTTGCCGTTTAATGGGAGTGTGTGACCAAAATGGACATAGCACAGAAAAAAAATGATGTGATCAGAAATTCTAGTGAAAGAAGGTATTGCCAAAGCAAAGTTGAGATTCATGGAGAACGTAAGGAAGAAAACTCTGCAGAAAGTGTATTTGTATATGCTTGTAAGTTGTTCACAAATTGCAGAACGATAGTGAATTAAGCACTATGGGGCAAACCATCACAGAAATTATTTAGAAAATATGCTGAATGACATGGATATAGTTCATATGTAAAATTTATAATAATTTCGCACAGATACTATTTTTGCAGTGCATATTATGTTTTGTGAAGGAGTAAGAGAGATAACTCTAAATTGAATTTAAGTATGATGTTCTTGTGATAAATAGACTAGAGAGTACGCGGAATGATAGTTCAGTAAGTTAATGATATTCTTTTAACATGAATGGACTTTCTACAGGAATTACATCATCAAGATTTTTTGCAGGTTATGAAACTGTTTTAGGGCATATCAGTCTCGCCTAATTTGAGTACTTAAAAGTAAACATCACCACATTTCTGTTCTTTCATTAAGTAAAGGATATAATGCAGACAATTGTACGATTGTATAGATGTATGATCTGTTCCGTAGGACAATTCGTTTCTATATTGATATGAGACGCAACATTCTGTGGGAGTGATGTTTGTAATGAAAGAAAATAGTGGGGTCTTCATGTTTTTGCGAAAGATATCCATGCAGTACATGTCAAAGATTTTTACACCAATTTACTTAAACACTTAAAATACTTTACACGTATTTCAGTTCTTTTTAAATGCGTAATTTTGAAAAGTTTTAAATGTTCTTGAGAAATCCTAATATTTTCAATACATATGTTATCTCGTAAGTATTTCGAGGTCTATCCTTGCAACTGGAACATGGTCGATTGATTGGTCCAGTAGCATACTTGGCGATTTGAATCTCAGCAATTGGTCATCGCGAACGTTAGTGCACCCAGTGTCTCGTAAAACGGTCACCTATTTGCGGTTGACAGTGCCATTCGCCGTCGGTACCCTTGCTTCTGGGAAAATACACATGCCGATCGATTGATAGTGTCGTGACCTATTCCTGTACGCACTGCTGGCTCGTACTCTGTCTCCCGGTTAGCTGGCTGGGAAACATTGAGCTTTCCATTTATCAGCGGGCTGCCTTCAGTGGCTACTGTGACTCTCTAAACTGGTCCCTTCCGCTTTGGACAATTGGGAGAGATATGACCCCACTTCTTTCAAGTGAAACATTGCTTGTCCTTATATCTTCATTGGTTATTTCTACTAGGTTTTTCGGGTTTCTTTGGTTTTTGGTCCCTAGCCTGATTACCGCTTTTTCCGTCTCGAGAGATAACTTTCTGGGTACCTCCCCGAGCATCAGAAAATAGGTCAGCCTGTGTGGCCATGTCATATATACTTGTGAAGGATCTTTCCTGCAACTCCTTGTCACAAGTTAATAACTGGTCTTGAATAAAAAGTCCATAAGACTCTCGTATATCTTCACGACTTTACCACATTTCACCCAACGCTGCAAATAATTGCACGTCCTACTGACGAACTGAGTGAATGTCTCGCCTCTCTCGGGTTTGCCATATTTAAACTTCTTGCGAAACCCTTGCTCGGTTAGCTAGTATTTCTTC